GATTAGCTATTATTTATGCTGGTTGCATATTTTTACCAATCGTAACAAAAAACAGGATCGGTGAAATATTTTTCTAAATAATTAAATCGTATACATTTCAGTTATAAAGAACTAAGACAAATATTAAGCAAAGAAAACAGTGAAAGTTTTTTAAATCAGAATAATAACATCGAAATGCATCAATCTGAGCATTTTTACGATAGTTCGCTAATATTATACTTCTTATTTCTTGTCCAAATCAAGTTTACCTTTAGCTCATCCTGAACATACATCATCGTGTCAGAATATTTACATATAATAAATGGAAAATTGGTAAACGTATTGTTTCATAAGTCTATCTAAACGCAAACTGTAATATCTAACGTTTCTATTTGTTAAGCATAATTTAGCAGTAGTACACTTTTTTTTTCGAAATTATCGGTTTACAGTAGTATTATTTATTTTCGTCACATTTTTCGACATTTTCATGTTTGTTTGTTACTTTTTTGTTTTTGGTTGGTTTTCAACCATAGAGAGAGCCTTGAAGTAAATGTTTTGTTTTCATTTTCAGATCTTTACTTCAAGTAGTGATAGGATTATATTAATAATTAATTCAGGTTATACTAGAGGCGACTTCAAAGTAATTGGGGGAAGAGTCGAGATTATATGTTCCAACTTTCGCTCAGTATTGGTAAGGCAACTTCAAGCAATTCCAGTTAGTGAAATACTTTGCTATAAGAAAAGGAAATTGACTTTGTTTTTAATAACGTATCTCTTAAAGATTATTCTATTTATTTATTTATAAGCCCTATCTGTTGTTGAAGTTGATCAGATAAAAAATATATTCAAAATACAGAAAAATGTGGACATCACATGTCAAAATATTTAAATATCAAACATTTTAGAAATCTGCTTTTCAAAAATGCGACTTGAGCACCACAGGCATTTATAGTTCAGTATATACTACCTGAAGAATTGAATTATCATAGGGCAAGAATATTTTACAAATTTAGATTATGAAAAATTTCAATTACTGATCAGTTCTAACAACCTTAGCACTTGCACGTTAAACAAACAATTCGGTAAGAAAATCGGAGATTGTGATTTTAAAGTTTATATGAATATATCATATGTTATCGTCAATAAAGTATTTAATTAAACATTTAAAAAAGACATAAAAGTTTCATTCGAAAATCTTTGTTAGGCTTCTCCCCAGAATTAACTGTCAGATTCCGTTATCTCAAAAGGTCTTCCTATAAAACTAGTGAAACTCGGTTTTATTCTGCCTCAATCGATTATATTTCGTCTCTTTTTCTTGAATGTTCTACATTTTGCTGTTAAAGGTGTAATTTTTCATCTTAATAGAAATAGAAAATTCACAAAGACTTGTACTTATATTGCTGTTTTTGTTGTATGTTTATGTGAGATCATTTTATATATATAAATTAGCAAAATGTTACAGCACATTCTAACTGTAAGATGGCTGCACCAATCAATATGCTTTATCAACTTGGACACTTCAGGAACAAGCTAGAAGTACAGAATAGATTTCACCTTTTTATAATCCACCTAGTAAATTACAGTACAAGTTCACCTACAACATCGATACAACTACACTACTTACACAGATTAAAGGATGATGAGGTTTGGTGGAATTCGTAAATTTTTAGGTTATCACTTTTTTTTAATTTAGCTTGCTTATTGTAGAGGAGTACTCTAACCCTATAAAGGGATACTTATGATTGATTAGGAAATATGCTTATTGTTTAGATAATGTTAGTTTTTTTATAGTTAGTTTTATAGTGTGCAAGCTGTTAGAAACCATTTAACTGAATCTGAACTTTGCAGAACCATCACAGTACAGGAGAGTCGCATTCAGACTGAGGTGGCACAGGTCATGTGGGTGTTACAATCTATGGCCAGTAAATTTTGGCGCAGATACCAAGCCATGGGAGCAGAAGAATACACCAGGGGGCCAGGCAAAGGTCGCCTGAGAGCTACAGATGCACTAGACGACCGATTTCTACGGTATTTAGCCCTTAGTAATAGCACCAACAGCGCCAGGGGCTTTAGGAACGAGTTTCAGCAAGTCACCAGAGTACGTGTATCATGCTCAACGGTCAGGTACTAGCTCCATGATGCTGGGCTCAGGTTCAAGATACCAGTGAGAGTCCCTGTACTAACCCTGAAGAACATGCCACCTGAACCCTTTAACAATGGACCCTTGTACTTTTCACAGGTGAGTGCAGATTCTGTGTATCTACAAGTGGTCGACGTGTGAGGGTCTGGAGATGTGAAGGGGAGCAATATTCGGGTCTGTAACATTGTCTACCATGATGCTTTTGAGGGGCTCACTCACGGTCTGGGGTGGCATCTGCATGCAGAGGCGTACATAGTTCTATGTGGTGGATGGAAGATCTCTGACAGGAAAACATTACATTGATGAGATTCTTCTACCCATGTTCACCTTTTTGCTGGTGCTGTCGTAGATGAGTTCGTGTATCAGCAGGATGATGCCCGTCCTCATACCGCCAGAATCACGCAGCAATTTTTTGAGGATGAAGGAAGAGAAGTACTGGACTGACCTGTTAAGTCACCGGACCTAAACCCGATTAAGCTTATGTGTGACTTGCTAGGGAGAGATTTTAGAGACAGACAACCTGGTCCTACAACTGTCCAGAAGCAGAGAGCTGTCCTCATCCAAGAGTGGACTGTTTTGCCACTGCAATTTATCCGAAATGTCATCAGCAGTATAGGGAAGAGGTGCAGAGAAGTCATAAATAATAGAGGAGGGCCTACCAGCTACTAAAAACTCATTTTGTTAAGTTTGTGCATCTTAATAAGTTATTTTTCTTTGATATTTATGCACCCACATATCGGCACTTTTCGTTAATTTTGCTTTTTTGTTACTTCTACATGAATATTTCAACTTGGTTGGTATTATGTACCTGTGGTATTTGTAATGAACAAAGTTCATCAATAGTGAACATTGCCTCGTCTTTTGGTTTTCTTCAGAGTTTGAAAACATATTAAAACTTATTATCCTTTAATGTTTGTGAGTAGTGTAGTTCCTAAAAGCATCGAAAATAGACCTGAATGACATGTTAGTTTGAAGAGTTCCCTTTTGAAACAGATTAATTTTGTAATCTTTGTCGTGCATCGAAAATTACCATAGTACTTAGATCCTATGCTTAAGGAGTATTAAATTAGTTGTCATAAGCTCTGCGTCATTCATTTTGAAATAATTTTGAAGTTAAAATGGAGAGTATTTGTCGTGATCATTACAAACAGGTTAGCTTGGGATCGATGAAGTGTCTCTTTTCTTTTTCAAGTGTTTTCAAGAACCAACATTCATATGTTCATTCTATATATATATATATATATATATATATTACTCTTATTGAGGTCGAGTTATTAGAGGTTGTAAAGTTGTATTTTGATTTCATTTCGGCTGAGTGGTAACTTACGCAACGTGACATATTGTTATAACAAAGAGAGCTTTATTTTATCTTTATTTTTTAGAAACAAAACTATGATATTTACTTGTAAGATACCTTGTACTATCTAGCTATAATATTATTTGAAACTAATGATTTACAATAGTTTGACTTTGCTAACGTAATGAAGTTAGGAGTGGTTTATATAAGGCAGGACATATAAAAAAAGTACTTTTCGCTAATAATTAATTGTAAGAGCTTATAAGTGAAAGTAAAGAAAAATGTAATAATATGTCAACCACACTAGATCTGCTATATCCATTGCCGATAAGACCTTTCGCCTAATGCCAAAGATCAATAGGCTGGTTAGGATACGACAGACCTAGTAGTGGTCGAGAAGCGAGTTATATGATCATTTGCTTGAACAACAACCGTTTCGGTGAGCCGTAATTTTTATCAATTTTATTTAATCCATTACACGTCAGAAGTAAAGACATACCAATAAGTTTTTCTAAATCGCAAAAAGCTTAGTACATCTGGGGTATATATATATATATATATTTGATACTATTTTTTCTGTCAAAAATAATAATAACATAAGATGAAGCGTAATTTCTCTTAATTGTTTAGTTGATGTTCTTCTAAAAACACTTCTCATTTTTATAGAACAATTCTGGTACAATAAAGTGTAAAACAACTTTTTCTTTTACAAGTATTAATAAATAATTTAAAACTTCTGGACAATACGGCTTGTTTTATTTAATTTTATTCCAATGTATTTAATTTATATCACTTGGTAAAAGAAAATAATGGTAGAAATCTAATACGAATATACTCTTATTCTAAAAAAAACGAACGTGGCCTAGTGGTTAGCGTGTTGGGCTGTAGTTTCAAGGATTCATGGATCGTGTCTCTTTCCCGCAAAACCTCACTCTGAACTTTAAGGATGTAGATGTTGTTGTAATGTGACGGTCAAATCATACTATTCGATGAGAGGTGTCCAATAATTGGTGGTGGGTGCTGTTGACTAACTGCCTTCCTTCTAGTTTATTAGTTCAAAAATAGGGGCGGCTAGCGCAGATAACCGAAAGAAGCAAAAAAAAAACTTATTTTTGAGGAAATAATTACTTGAATTATTACGTTATTCATGAGTTTCAAGAATTAAAACCAGGCAATATGTCTTTTGATGTGCGATGTTGAGCTATTTTTGATAAACACCAAAACTAATGTTTCACTTTATTAACTACATGTAACATTCTAAGGGGCGTACATAGGGATGTTTAATATTAATAGCTTGGTTTGATCAAAGTTTGTTTAAAACTACGCAAACTTTCCTTCGTTAACTTTCTTAATAAATGACTCAATTCCCTAATAGTGAGAGATTGTCAGTACAAAATAACATCTTGGAAATAAATACAAAATAATTCAAATAAATAGCTCAATAGTTCCCTTTACTCTTGTCTGCGAACTTCTGATATTATATAATATAAAAGTATTTAATTTATTTTGACTTTCTCTTTCAAGGGGGTAGTATACATTGATATATTGACAATAATCTTCTTGTTGTTTTTTCATTTGTCATAGGAACCGGAAACTTTGGAGTCGACTTCAGTGACACTGGGATTATTGACGGTGGTGACGTGGATGGAGCAGCTGTTTGGCATATCTTCTTTATAGTCTTTGTAACGTACGCTATGCTACCACTACCGCTGAAATGGTGCATTGTGGGTGGCTCTCTTAGTTCACTTTCGCATTTTATCGTCACGTGTGTTATTTTTCGAGAAGATGGCGCTTTTGTCAGAAGAGTGAGTGTACTTAAAGATGCATGTAACTGATTATACTTATTGTCATATCATATTTTCACCATGAAGTTAAGAACAAGTAAATTTCGCTAAGACATTTATGTTCTTCATACAAAATTATAATGCAACTCACTCAACGTTTTTTGTTATTGTTATTTCCCCTTTATTTTTATTATTATTACTTATTTTATTGTATATGTAATGCATAAAATATATTGACTATAGTACTATATGTACTACAAATTTAATACCACCATCGTCTCAATTGTTATAGCCAGTATGTATTACCTAACAGTATCATATGAACATATCTAATATTATACAGTGATGCGTTTCGTAACAGTGCGACAATAATCACATCTAAAAATTAAAAAAAAAACTGACATATATTGATGAGAGTTATATCTAAAATCATAGAGTATTACCTACTTTGTAACAGAATCATGCTAACCAGAACTAAAATCATATAACAGAAATGCACTCTGGTATAGTATCATATCAACCAGTTTCAAAATATTAGATACCATTAATGTTAGTTAAATGGACACTAAGGGTATTCAATGTTGATGATTTTTATATTCCTCATATATAAATTAAATTTGATAATGTTGTAATGGAGGATGAAAAAATCACAAATTGAAAACTGTTTTAAAGTAACCATATACCGTTTTCATATTTTTCACAAGTGAATTCTGTTCTGTAACTAATAGCCTTTCACCTTGTGATTATGAAGCTGAAATCCATATGTTATTTTCATTCACACACTCTAAGTTAACTTACCAAAATATATGTCTAATGCTCACACAAACTAAGAGTTATCGATTATCTTCCAAAGTTGGAACGTGAATCTAAAACTCCAATGTATTTTAATGAAAAAAAATGACTTAAAATTCATTGTTTGCTTACTTTTCTAAAATATATTACTCGTTTCCAAGATAGGATTTTGAAATGATATAACGTGCTCATTGCCCTCTCTACAGAGATCACTCACAGTGTGTTTTAGCCTTTACCAACCAACGACGAAGCAAACGATGCTTCTTTAAAACCAAATTAACGATAACGTTATATTATAATTAACGATTATTATGAAAATTACATTCTGTAAATCTAAAACAAATATTACCTTGTCTTAGAAGGAGCTTTCAAAAATGCAAAGTTTATTAATTGCAGATTTCTGATCAGGTCTGGCTCTACTTATTTTGCCACCTTAAGCTAGTTTTCAATCTGCTGAACCTCTCCAATTTGTCTTTCAAGTGTACTACAAAACGGTAGAGATACAAATCAAATTTATTCATTAATGATTATTTATTAAAGCCTGAGGAAATGTTACATGCAGTAAAAGTTAACACTTGGTTATCGTGGCAGTTCAAAATTTTATCACAACGGAAATTTCATTTTTCTTTCTTTCATCAGGCAAAGTCTCACATTGCTTGCTTCAAATTCTTTTTTTTTTTATATATATAATTTCATGCTCGATCAAAACTGTTGCCAGTAATACCAGCTTTGTTTGTGTCGTAGTTCTTCTAAATTAGATTTTAAACAACTTTAATTTGGAAAAACGTTTTTCTCCACAAGCAACTGTGAGAAGGAAATATCAGTAACAAAGGTGTTGGGAAACGACGAAGTTAATTTATTTTTGCACACGTGCTTCAATACACTTTTCGAAATCGTCTTAATCAATCTCAGTTTTAGTCACACATTTCTGTACTCTGATTCTATTTACCTCACCATCTTTGATAAGCTGATTTGGAGATCCACACAATGTTTCAGGAAGGCCCTTGAGCTCATTTTTAACTACTCAGAAATACTGTCTTTGCTGTTTTATTTAGAATCTTCGCCCAAAGCTACACTAGGGCTATTTTGAACCGAGAGAATAGAGTGAAGATAGCTAGTCAACAGCACCCGCCGTTAACCACTGATCTACTCTTATTTTACCAAATAGTTGGATTTGACCGTCTTTCCTATAGTGCATCGACGACCCCAATAAACGGATGCGAACCAGGAACTCTCCGATTCACGGTCAGAGCACGTTAACCATAAGTGACACCCGGCTCGTCAACAATACGTTGCTAAAATCTCTCTTCCAGGGATTCAATGGTTGTGTCGATACATTTGTTAAAAACATTGATCTTTTGAATCAAGGATAGATTTGTTTCATTTTTTTGTGTGTGAAACTCGGTATTCTCATTCTTTTTTATTTCATGAGCAAATTTATTGTTTTTGCTGCAACAATTTTCCATTGATTTCTATTTCTTCAGTCGCGCATGCCTCAGTGTGACAAACCAGAATTATCATTGTCATCTGTTCTGCGTGGATTGTGTCTGAATCCTCTTCGGAAGCAATTGGATGCCCCTTTCCAAGTATCATCTATGACTTTCATGTGTTCCCCCGGTTGGACATCTGTAAGTCTATAGACTTACAACACTAAAATCCGGGGTTCAATTTCCCGCGGCGGACACAACAGATAGCCCAATGGGGCTTTGTTTTAAAACTAAAACGAACTTTCTTTTGTAGTAATTCTATTAAAGTGTTGTTTTTTCATGACAGAATCAAAACGTGCAAATATTCAACAAATTTCAGTAATTTTCCATTTCTGGGCCCAAAGAGCTTTTAGTAATTTCCACGAAGAGTAGTAATTTGAATTCCATGAATTCTTATCAGAGCAATAAGTATTTCAAGTGCAGCTTTCCAAGCGCCATCTCTTGTTTAATTAAGCGCATATTTTCATTATCCATTATCTGATTTATCTTCCTTTGAGATTTTAATTCTTTCAACTGCAGAAATACCTTCAGGTGATTTACTAACTTTTGATGGCGACTTATAAACACGGACAAACTTTTTCAACTTCCTCTGTTTCACGACAGTGAAAAGTCATCTGTACCGAAACTCTTGTAGCAATAAACAAACAAACGTTATGACTGAATACAGAACTCGTTGTATTGGTTCTTTTTCTCCACTGGCAAACTGTCGTACATAATAATTTGTTATGAATTTCCTCCTCTCTTCGTTTTAAAGAATCGTCAAATAACTGCACCTGTATTAGACCTATTTTAACTGACATATGTTGTACCTTTGAGTGGATTTATTTTATTTAGCTGGAGACATCAAGTCAATTACTCTCGTATTGTCGCTTTCTGTCTGCTTTTCCATAAGCCATATTTTTTAAAGTTCAACATATTTAATCATTTTGAAGCTATCATTGTTTTAATCACTACATTTTAGCTATCTTGAATTTTTTACTAACTCAAAAATAAGTTAATAAGGATATTTTTATTCTGTGAGCTTCCTGAAAAGGCAAAACATTTTTTTTCTGCTAGCTAGCTCGAGCCTCGCTTATATACCACAGTGGCCTAGTTTCCAGATTTTTTATTAACTACTAGTTAAAAGTTTTTCTAATGATTTTGTTCTGCCCGCTTCATGAAAAGAAAGCAAGAATTTTCTAGGGTATAGGGAAGGAAATTTAACTTTCCGTCTCCGCTTAAATAGGAAGAAAAATAACAAGGGAAGTAAAGTTAGTACAGCGACCTTAGCATGAATTCATTGGTAAAATTATTTTCATTTTGCAGTCCCTCTATTTTGCTACCCAAGGTGTTTGCCTGCTTTACCTATTTCATAATGCGAGCCCTGTTTCTGGTCTTTAACTATCAAAATGTATAACGAAGATTTTTCGCTTTATTAGGCGTGTTGTACAGTTGATATTTGCATTATAAACAGTTGTATTAACTATATTTCCAGTTACTTTACCAAATGTAAAGATGAATTTTATAATTCATTCACAATAATTTGCTTGATTTTCATACAGGGTCTTAAATCGGTCACTTTTTTTTCATTTAAAGTTCTTAAAATCAAATCTCGTTTATCTGAGATAATACATAGATATTATTTAAATCAATTGTGCAGGTAATTAGTTAGCGTTATATACTATAGTATACGAAATTTACGAAATAAATTTTCTAAACCTTTTATACTTTCTAAGTAATATCTAAACAAGTTTAACTGATGTTAATATCAATGATGTTCATAGGTGATCACCAATGCCCTGTTATATTTGTGCATCAACTTCGTTAGCATGTATACCAAACACCTGACGGATCGAGCCCAGAGGAACGCCTTCCTGGAGACCCGACGATCTATGGAAACACGTTTCAAAATAGAGAAAGAAAATGAAAAACAAGTAAATATCAGACAAAGACAATAGAGAGGAAAAATTTACAATAGTAACCATCAGTTTCGCCTGTTGTAGTCAGATTAATTAAAATAGCTAATAATCATTTTATTTGACTATTATTTGCACAATAACCTTAGAAAATTACAAGTAAAGATGAAACGCTGAAATATTAGCTCAAAAACTTTGTGTTTCTCATTTTAATGAGAAATATGCCAGAACTACCTGTTTTGAATGAAAAATGCTTCAATAAACCTTGCTTATGTTTGTATTTACATGTTTCATAATTATAAAGTATGATTAAAGAACATCTTATTTGTATCTTTCTTAAACAGACAGTGCGAATGGAAAAGCTTACAGATACATTGTTTTAACTCGGTTGACAACATAGCGTTGTCTGTTGTCGTTAAATCTAAGTTTTGAATTCGCTTTTTTGTGTTAAGGTAACTTTTATTGCAATAAAATATACCTATTTCACGTTCTTTACTTGCACGTAATCTCTAAACTTAATCCGATCTGGAATTTGATAAGAATTTCAAAAACATTTGTGTCAGAATTATATAGATTCAACGTATATAGGAAAACCTTCCGTAAAGATGAATCACAAAAAATGCGATACTAAAGCACAACGTAACTTTTTTTTTACGGAATCGACTCAATTGAAATACTTCTGTGCTGAACTAATTTATTTTGAAATATAGAAAAAATATGTTTATTTGCACAATAGGAATATAATTTTCTCTAACTGTAAATATATATTGTTTATATGGTATTGTACATAACATAACCGGCCTCCATAGCTAGAACAATTTATATCTTTATCGCAAACCATTGTCGTGAAAAGAGAAGCTAAAAATTCTACTTTTTAGACGAAGTCACTACTCTATGGCATCAAACTTGAAAGTATATTCATGAAACATCACGAGAGAAACTTCGAAGATATTACCAGCACAATTTATTGTGTTGCATGAAATGTTTTGGAACATTAATGTGTCACTATATCCTAGTTATATAACAACATATTTTCCTCTAAAGTTCAGCTGTATAAAAGGCTTGAAATATTTCTGTTATTATTTTTGTCAAATTTCTACTTACATGATTCTGCGCATACTTCGTGTCTTTGTGTTGAATTGCTTAAATATTAAACTTTTTCATCTGTCTCATAGCGTTATAATCTTATAAGTTTCAAAGTACTGTGTATAAGTTTTTTTTATTGTTGTTTTTTAATTATGTTAACACTTAGTCTTTGGACTTGTTTCACTCAGGAACGCCTCCTTCTTTCTCTGCTACCACGTTTTGTTGCCATGGAAATCATTTCAGACATAGCCCGAGAAGAAGATCATGGGAGGATCTTATCGGCACAGTTTCATAGGATTTACATCCATTGCTACGAGGACGTAAGGTAATTTGTATTTGAATGCAGATATTATATCATCAAAAAAATCTTTCTTTCTTTTCATATCTAACATACTTACTTTGCCGAAGCTACCAATTCGTGCTTAGTCATAAATAACGAAACATAAGCCAATTTCTTTGATGAAATATCATCCTCGTGCTACAAAATTTATCAAAATTACCTCGCTCTTATGTGTTTAAGGAGACATAGAGCAAGTATTACACTACTGGGACAGTTAGGAATAAGGTTAATTAGTTATTGAAAATATCTAAATGTAGCATAAATATTAATAAACATTAAAAATGCATTATGACTCTTACTTTGGAATTTATTCGAACTTAGCTACATAAATTTAAGAGTCGACGTTTTAAGCTAAAATAAATTTAAAAACCTCTTGTTCTTATAATGGCTGGAGACGGCTTAAATGGGTAATGAAGAAAAACTTTAATATTAGTTTAACATAACAGCAAATGTACAATGTTTCGACAAGGTTTTGTCATCATCAGGTACAAGTAATTTACACTGACACATATATACAGTATTGAACAAAGATGTCACATGACCGGAACTGTTGCGAAACATAGAAGAGGTATCTAGGCACCCCGGGGTGTTGGTTTAGAGTAGGGTTGTTTTGTTCAATTAAGATGGATTCCTTGATTTTTCGTTTGTTTATGTTGTTCTTGTTTTTTTTATCGCAAATGATATCTGTTCACCATGGGGAATCGAACCCCGGATTTTATCTTTTTAAGTCCGTAAATCTATCGTTGACCACAGCCTATAATGTTATTACCAAAAATTCAAAATATAATATTCATATAAAATATTTTTCTCATTTGAATTATATTTCTATTTTCTGCATTTTCAAAAACGTTATAAAGGTGTTTTTTTTAAGATTAGTGTTTGTATATATTAAAGAAATCAACAAATGTGTAATAGGTAATGATATTTGATTTTCCTAAGTTTTCATTTCACATTTAAAATTCACTAAACATTACATTGATTATAATTATAGCTTCCCAATGGAATGTGATGTTAACTATTTTAAATTGTACTAAGGATGTTTTTCACTTGACCGACATCTTATGTAACATCACATGGACTTAAATGACTACGTCAGAGACATACTGTTCACTCAAAAATACTGCCACCTACACGACTACTATTAAACGGTTTGTTTTCATTAGTGTAAAGTTAAGCAATGACCTTCTTGCGTTCTGTCCACTGCAGGGAAACGAACCCCGGATTTTAGTGTTGTAAGTCCATGAACTTACCGCTGACCTGCCTGGGGACATCCTAAACGAATAGCGGGATTGACTGGCATAGTTACAGCTCAAAGTGCAGCATATCGCGACTTGAACCTTGAAATCTTCGATCCGCAACTCGGCACACTGATCACTGGGCTTTGTCCAGCCTAACAGAAAAAAGTAAAATGTTTAAAGATCAGTTTGTTTTCATTGCCTTTAATACCTAAGTACAAAATTATTTTATTGTATTTAATACATGATACTGAAGCTAGTTAAGTGATCGGAAATATTTTTGCATAAAATATAAAAAAACTCGGTAACTTTGTAACGTACACGTGAACACAAAGTTTTGTTGCGAATTTTTAGCAAAGGAAAAAAAACAAAAAAAACGCAGTCTAAATGCATATTTTCCTGGAGAAATGAATAACTTAAATATCACTCGAAGAGTTGCCTGACTTATACATGAAACAAATATGTCTGATATTCAAAATTGAATTTAGACATTATAAATTTAATCTGTTGCATACTAAACGCATTCTACTGGATATGTAGAATAAAATGCACTGTGTTCTTATGTGACGCCATAAGTAACAACGCGCCAGAGAAATTTGTTAAGCTTATCATATGCTTTGAATAAGCTCCCTTGAGACCTGTTTCCATACGATAGTTCGCCTGCACTCCAATCCGTCGTTGTTTACTGCGAAACGCTATAAGATTAATTGAAGGTACACGGAAATCTTCTATGCATAGCTAAGTATATTCAGCTGGGGATAGAATCCGCCTCATTGTAGCCTAGAAATGTTGGTTCAAAATCAACACAATTTTCATTTTAGATTTAGACATGTCACTGAGAATAATGTATTGAGAGAGGGAGAAAGAGAGAACATTGGGTATCTTGAATTGTGTAAAATGAAAGCCTAGTTTACCTTTTAAAATGCTTTAGTTAACATTTGAGAAGGTTTTGATACCTGAAGATATGCTAAGCAATGTAAAAGGTCAATATAAAGGTAGCAGTAAAACATTATGAGACTGTTGTATTTATTATCTTGTATAATTTTCATTTATCTTGTGTGTGAGTTAAGGTCATTTAAATAAATTAAGACTATATGGGTTAAAATAAAACTGGGTTTTTGCGAACAGGCATTAAAGCTAATATCACTTAACTATCATTTTGATCCTTTACTTTCTTCAAATGTTTGTTCCAAGAAAAGTTGGATGTAGCACAACTGTTAGTTTACTATTTATCTGAAATTATGATAACAAAAAACGAGGCATTTACTTTGTACACTGCCTCTTAACATTTTCATTTGTCCACTATATCATTTTTTTCTTCTCATACTCATTGCACGAGGCTTTTTTGGGCAAGAGATAAACATTGACTTAGTATACACTTCATAAATCGCCATAGGCTGCAATTCATTCCCAAATATCTCAAACCGAATTAAAGCACAGGATATATTTAAGAAACCTATAGACTACAATGTACACAGCATGGTCACAAGTAAATAGACACCACCTTTTAAGAAAAAATGAAAATTTTCAGTCATATTCACA